TGGAGTTATTACCCTTGGTTTCATTAATGCGATGCATGCGTTCGATGATGTTGTATTGCACTCATTGATCTACCAGTTATGTTGAATGATTTCTCTTTTAATATCAATTACTCACAAATACTTCATATATTTCAATCATACAAACAACTGCTCATTCAATGTGTGACGGGCGTATTATATACCGCTCGCGGTAACCTTGTTTGTTTTTCGTTGGTCCATAGTCATTTTGATGCCTCTGTCATGTTAAGAGGGGTAGGGTATATCGTGTTACACAGGTCTGTTCGATTCCTGCCAATTATGTCCCTTACTGATTCATTGTCATTGCTCTTTGTGACTTAATTTCTGATCTGATTTTGATCAAACTTCAAGTATTAGAACACCCCCAATAAGTTATATTTCAGGGTCTAAGGTCAAGGCCTTTGATTGATTGGTGAACTTTATGTCCATGTTACAGTTGTAACTGAGCCTAGGAAAAATGTGGGTCAAGGCCAAGGTCGCCATTCCTTTTTAATGAGATCTGTCAAACAGAACATAAATATGGGAATGGGAACATTCATGCCTTACAGATATTTTCTAGTATGGTAAAACATGTATCTTTCTATTGCATATATATAATCAACTTATCTCTGGGAACAGATTTTCAGCAGAATAGATTGAATTTGAAAAGTAAATTAGATTCAATATTTCTGAACTCTATCAAACAACAAACAATTGTTCGCTGTTTCCAAAACAGATTCATTGTGTGATAAAACTTTGACAGATTATTTGCCATTGTAACTATTACCATATGCTCATTCAGAACTTATCTTGCTATTTCTTTGTTCAATGTGTCGGTGAGTCAGCTAAAAGATTTTAGTGTATAGGTTGTGGAGGCAGCTAACATTGGTCAAACATACAAGTTTACAATGCCCAAACAATATAACATGATTGTCTATAGGCTTCGGCAGATTTTTGTCAATACAACATTTATAGGGGGGAGTTTGTGTATCACACAAACACAAAGATACATTGGTGGAGGGTGGTGTATCAGGGTGGTTTACCTGGAGACTGGGTAACATGCTGTCCCACTGTGGAACTGTGCATTGATCCAGTGCAAGGCCAGTCTATCAGCCTGCCCATTGATTGGTGTACATAGTAACAGAGGTATGGGAGGCCCACTAATTAATCAACTCTATAAAACACCTCTCACTCCTTCATTGACTTAATGGATTTTCACCTGTCAGTTTATGTTGATTTTTACCTGTTAAGCCTCTGTTGATTTTATACATAGTGCTTTATGGTCCCTTATTAATTTCAAATACACCAACAGCAAAGCTCCTAATTAAAACTTGCCTTTAAATCTAATGTCTGTAATCTAAAACTTAAAAAGACTCTGTAATTTTCAATATTTCCTGAACTGATGTACTTCCATTAAGCTAATGGCATTGTTTAATTGACCGTACACCAAATTTTACACATGAGTGTTACACATTCATTAGATTTCAATAAAAACTGATCAGAACATGAATACATTGTACATTATTTAAAAAAATACAATTATCAAACTGTTTGTTTACAGAAGAACACTTAAATGACTGAAAACCCTAGAGAGAGATACTTTTAAATTAAAATTAAGTTCTGTTTCAGCTTGAATTTCAGCTCACCAGGTATGAAGTAGGGGCTGGGTAAAAGAACTCTTAATAGGGTGATTTGCTTTAAATGACATTTACTTCTAAACTACTGGACAGATATTGTAGTAATATCTTACTAAACCCATAAGTATCAAAATTAATACCAATAAAAAACATGAACCCCCCCGGGGGTAAAAAGGAATAACATTGGCAGATTGGCTTTAAAAGACATTTCATGCGCAGATTTCAACTTTATTTCCAAAATAGCCTGGGGAATGATTTAAGGAACTTAGGCAACATTTAAGAACTGATTAAATTCTTCCAGAGATCATAACATCATTATTTGTTTGTGCTTTACAAAGCTGTTTAGTTTTAGCTCAACTGGGACAGAGAAATGGTAAAAAAAAAATTAAAAAAATATGAAACAAGTTATTTCAACTTATATTCATCACTCTTGTTGGCCCGAATGTTATTACGCGCAGGGTTTTAGTGGGGGAGGAAACCGGAGTACCCAAAATAAACCTACGTGGTTGGGCAGAGAAATGGTACAAGGTACATTTCCGTCATCTGCTTTTTATTGAGTGGCTTTTAGGATTTTGAACTAGGTTTGATATAGAGCATCCCTAAGCCAAAAGAATTTCCTAAGTGTTGTATAAATGAAGGTTATAATCTCCCTGGGACAGTCTGGCTGAATTTAATAGAAGAAATGTGAGGTAATTTAAAAACAACAACTTCTTCAGTACAGATAAAGGGATTTAAACCTAACGTGTCAGGGATCATCCCTGGGCCAAGATTATTCAATGTTGTTGTCTGCAGCTTGTGGCCTCGCTGGGAGCAAAGGTTTAGGGCCTTTCAGTGAAAATAAGGGAAAATCTTTAAAAAAAAAAAAGACCATTTGGTATTGAATATCCCTGGGCCAAGACAATTCAATGACTGTTGTGTAAATAAATGGGGG